CCTAAGAGTCAGAGTAAAGCTTTATAAAAAAAGAGAAAATGATATTTGAATCTTCTTCTTCTTCTATATTTGAATATTTCTAAGCCTGAAAACATGCAAGGAGGATGGAGAACTAAATGAACAAGATATTTCTAAACAGCTGCTCAGGGTGATGATCCATCATCTGCAACACTTTGAAGCACTCAGGGCCACAGCTCTTTTGGAGATTTTATGTTATAAAATGTATCCTTCAGATTTGACAATCCAAATCACTGTGCCAATATGGCACATGGGCCATGAGATGCTAGCGGCATGTGATACACTGCACTTACAACCTCACCTAGCTCCACGACACCAAAAAACATATAAAACATCCAGTGTCAACAAAGTCTCCTAGCATTTGTAATTGCAGCACCAGGTGTGTCATTCTTGTAGACTTATTCATTTTCCTTCCATCCTCCTCTCCAGCTGTAAGAAACTGAAACTCAGATAAATACTGCACTGGGCTCTGGTTAGTGCAGAAAACCATACAAACAGGCAAAGCCAGAAGTGCACTGCAGAGGCAACAGAGCTGCACACTGCAGCCCCTCCACTTCCCTTCCGCCAGCTCAGCTATGCAGTGAACAACAGGAAAGCAAGCAGCTTGGGAAGCGAAACCTTCCCAAACAATTCTCAGGACATCATGGACAAGGCTCACCCTGCCCAGGAGGCTGTTCACACCAGGCCATTCCAGTTTAGACACTAAAGCAGTTCACCAGCAACAATGTGAATCATTCCATAGCATTTGCCCTCCGAGCAAGGGCAGTCACCAGGTCCATTTAATTTACTTGCACAGTCAGAGCACACTCCAGGCTCCATGTTTGACTTCCCGCTGCCGTTACCTGCCTCCTGACCTGTTTTATCTCAAAGCACCTCCTTCCATAACTTCCTCTTGCTTAGACGCGCACACACAAGGCAGTTCTCAGGCTCCTCTAACTTCATTCTCTGGGAACGTGGGCTCCTCCCCGGCCTAGCCTTGCACCGAGGCCAGCAGAGAGCTGCTAACTGGGTGCATCCATCCCCACTCGGATGCTAGGAGGCAGGTAATGCCCCACGCTCCACAAAGCCAGGCCTTGCAGCAGAGGCGGCTCCCAGCTCCCCTTATGATTCAGACTRTTTCGGTTCGCTAGCTTGAACTCCGATACAAAAAGGTCGTCTTAGTTTTATTTTGAAAAGGGTTTGTCATCACTTTCCTGAAAAATATCAATCTCCAGGAGATAATCCTTCTTAAGTCTGTACAAAAGAATCAGACAAATAGCTTTAYTTCAGAACAGATTACACTTTTTAACAAGTTTTTTTTTTCAAGCCAGTAATGAATGTTTTATTATAAGCTGTTCATACATCAACCACTTTGATCATCTGCAAACAATATTATGAAATGATGAAAAACACTAAATCTAAACATATTTCATATATTTAGGAAAATAAATATATATAAAACGCTGAGAAACAATCCATTTCAGATAATATTTTGTTTTGAACTCTCCTGCAATGCTAGGCACTAGCAGCATATAYGATGCATAAATAGACAAAATAAACTTCTATATCTCAGTAGTGTTGGAATAGATAAAATAAATATCACTCCTGAATCTACTCTAGACTCCATGCATTCTCCATGGTTTCACAGAAGAAAACGCAATGAATGTTAAGATGCTGCTTTCAAAACAACACCAAGTTCGACAAGGTACATAGCAACACAGCCACACCAATGCTTTAAGAAATGGTTCCCTTCCCTTTTTGAAAAAAAATTAAAAAAATCAGTATCATTCTCTGATAGGAGCAGTGCAGAACATARTCGGAAATATCCCATTGAAGATTGYTTCTTACAATTTTATTATAGATGAAATCAATGTTGTGTGTTCTCAATACACTTTCTCATTTTCTAAGAAATACAGAYTTGTATTTTAAGAGACGGGAGAGTAGCCACCTGTTGCATCATGACTGACAGAAATCTCATTCCTGGGAGCTGAAATGGCAGATGGCCTTTTGTGATCTTTGTGAGTTGGATTTGCTATAATATGAAATGTGTCTTTTCATTTGACATGCTCTTTCTCATTGATTTCCAGATGACAAATAACTTAGAAAGGCACTGAGAAACAAACAAAAGATGGCCTTGCACCCTGACTCATAAGGACCGGAGCTCCTTGAATTTTCTATGCAATCACATGAAGATGTGCTATAAGATAGTGGGCTTTTTTTTTTTTTTTTTTTTTTTTAAATGGCTACCTTCATTGCCTCAGGCAAGAAATATTTCCAGTTAAGAGGGAACATTTTACAAAATGCTTATGCAGTCTTTATTGTACAATGACTACCAAGAGAGTTCAGGCTGCAGACACAGATTCCACAAAAGACCTTCCAGGTATAAATAAGTATACGCAGGAGAGTAAAAAATAAAGGACAAAGAAATAAGTTTCTTTGCTGAATATTAATTTTTTTTTAATATAAAGCTTAAAGAGTTCTTCATGAAGCAAGGCTTAGATCCACTGCTTCATCTTGACAACTATGAGCTCAAGAAAAAACACATCCCAGAAACCTCCCATTCAGGCTAACTGCAATACTTGTGCCCGAGGAAACATGCATCTGTTTATCTAGATAAAAGTCTTATACTTAGATAGAGACCTTATATTTGCACACCGTAAGCATAGAATATATTACATCATATAAAGAATAAAAAACATGGAACATCACAGGGGAAAATAAATTGCCAATGTCATAAATGTATGCAAAAAACCCAAATTCTTTTGGCTGAGCACTTTGTTTGGCTGCCTCTGCTCCATCCAAAATCCATGTTTACTCAATGAAATCATGGCTACAGGGCTATAGCTTCAGTTAAAAATGCCATGCACAAATACCCTAACACACTGCCAAAGCATAGAGCTCTATGGATTGTACAGCAGAGTGTTTCTGGACAGCCTGAACACATGGCTTGTTTGCTCCAAACATTTCACCCTGTGGAATTAGCCATTCTTTTGCTTGCCCAGAAGGCACCTTTTAAGGGCACCTCACAATAACTTGAGTTTTGTAGGGTTCTTGGGTTTTGTTTTACTAGCAGCTTATTTATCTTCAACCTATCTCTGTCTCATAACTGAGCCTACCAAGAGCATTTGAATGTGGAGGCTGCACAACTAATTAAAATATGGAAAAAATAGAAAATGCTGCAAACCAGAATTTTCTTCTTTACAAGGTGGCTTTTCTCAAAAACAGTTCATCAAGCTGTACTGTTTCACTAAGTTTATTAGCCAATTCCCTTAAGTATCTGAGACTGCACCTGAACTGTATCCAAAGTGTACAAAATGCCCTATTTGCCTTTTCCTGTGTTTTATCAAAAGGAAGGCTGACAAGGTTTTTATTGCTTCTTAATTGCTCCTGTATTTTTCTTGATTTTTCTTGTAAAAGGAGAATGTAGAGCGAACAAATCGATAGTTCAATCACTGTTGAGTTCAGATGCAATTTGTGTATGGATTC